AAAAAAATGGGCCCGTTTTTACGAAAAACGGACTGTTTTGGGGAGATTTGCAGAGTGCAAACTTTTTTTTTTAATTTGCCTCTTCAAAACCTTGGTGCGTCTTATACTCCGGTGCCTCTTATATTCCGAAAAATATGGTAATATGTACAGTCTAACTGCCCAACTGGGAAAGATTCATGAAAAATGCCCAAGTAGGCTCACATCTTATCTTGCAACACTTTGTGAACTATGATTGTGGGGACAAATCTAAGTGACTGGGGCGCATGTGTTTCATAAATTCATAGCCTTCCTGCAGTGGCAGGGAATCTCATCATGGAGAAGAAGCAGCTTTCACTGAATACAGAGCAAAGATTAGTGGGTTAGTTCTGTCCTTACAAAATCAGATCGGCTGGCTACGCAGCACACAACTGTGCCATTATCTTCTATGAACAGCAGGTGAAAAATGCCCACATTTTACATACTTACATCTAAATCCATCTCTGGGTATTTTCTTCCTTTGCTTTTACCCAAGCACTTGGTCTTCCCTCCCTCTAATAGTTGGCACCAGAATCCTTTTTTGAGATCAAACCTATCACAAATTACAAAGATGATGATATACAAATGATCTCCATTTTGTAACTAGAACTACTTATTTTATACATGCAGTAATTACATATAATTAGATATGGAAACCAACTTTCCTGATCAAAAGGAGATCCCTTTTATCAAACATATGGAATGACCATGTCACACTATTACTCTGCTACAGAACTCAATAGCAGTGGAAGAAAAAGAATAAATTGGAATCCTTTCATGTTTGTTTGCTAATCTATTAATTCCAATGTTTTAAACTGCATTGTGTGGTGGTCCTGTAGGTAGATATAAATTGCTTCTTGTCCAGTGGTGGGTTCCTACTGGTTCGGACCAGTTCGGCCGAACCGGTAGTGGTTTGGCGACCTGTTTCGATGGAACCGGCAGTGACCCAGGCCTGCCATGCCCCCGAACCAGTTCCCTGGGTGGCACTGTCGGCACTGCCATCTTGTTTTTCAAGACGGCATTTGTTTTCAAGAACAATTTTAATTGCACTGCGCCTGCGTGTGCAGCACACATCAAGTATACGCACATGAGCAAACTGGCAGTAGTGCCTGCTGGAACCCACCATTTTTGACCTAAATTTAGATCACACACACACACACACACACACACACACACACACACACCCCTATTAAAAATGGTTCTTAAGGGAATTGCACTAGCCAGAATTGTTTACAAACGCAAATGCTCTGAAGGAAAAGAATGAATACCTATTGATTATAAAATGTTCCACACCTCTGAACAAGAGAATGATAATTTCTGCAGATTTCAAAGGACACACTCCACACTAATGCAACTTAATGGTAGGCTGATATCTTATTTTATTTGTGCAAATGCTTGTAGACCTTCCCCTGGATATATCCTCTTCACAAAAAAGTAATGAGACATGGAGAAGTGAGCATGGTTATCCTCTCCCTCCCCTCCCTTCCCTCCTCCTGTCCCCATAATTTGTTTCTCCACAGGAATTCAGATTCACACATTTTAAACTCTACCAGGGAAGAAACTCCTTGTGAAAGTGTTTGCAAGAAGGTAAACAGGGAAATTAATCCCTTTTCTATCTTCATTACCTGGAATGAAGATAAAAAATATTATTTTCCTATTACATATATTCTGTATGTATATAATATGTACTTGAAAGAAAATGCATAGTGTTCTGTTATGGATAATCAGTCATCTATGCACCACAAGATATGTTCAATGTAATGTTTATGCATTTGTTACAGAAAACAGTATTTAGTAGTCTGCATTTTATTGGTACTAAAACCAGAGTAGAGCACAGTCTTACTGCTAACCACTACAATGATCCTTTGCAATGAAAGATTTCAAAGCTTCAGAGCAGTCTTGGTGTCTGCAAAATGAAAGGAAGCCAATTCTATAGTCCTCCAATCAGCTCTTCAATTGACAGGGGAAAAAATGCAAGCAATGTGAGGGATGCAAGCAAGTAGGATCCAATGCTGAAAATATATTCAAAGATTATATTCAACAAAAGCAGATATAATGAACTCACGCTAGAGTTTTATGATAATCTATGGTGTTTGTCACTCCAAGAAATTTCTGGACTGTTTCCATTACTTTGGCTGGTTCTGTGCGTAGTCGCTTGCCATCCAGAACAAGAATCTGAAAGACATTTTTAAATACATATATATGTTAGGTTCCTCTCTTATACTGAACATACACCTTCCTAACTGCAATGTATAGCATCAGGAACAGAGAAAGTTTCACTCCTCAGAGGTAGTAATAGAGCAAATCAAAATAATAAATAAATCCACTTCTGTTTGTGTAGAATTTGTATTTCATTTCTATTATATCCTAACTGGAAAGCACAGGAGAGACGAATAGCATGAAAAAGCTAAACACTGCTTTAACTTAGTGTATTTCTAAACTTATAGTACCATAATGGGCACACATATGGTCCCTCGACGTCCTACCCTCCACTAAAATTTGTTAAATAAATCAAAGTCATTTTCTTACATTGATATTTCCTAACTTAAACCTAAGATGAAGAATCATGTCAACTGTTCTGTGTGGCTTAAAATTCATTCAAATGATTATATTTACCAAAAGGAGAATGATAAAAGATGATTTCCCCAACCAAAGTCAGAATAAAAATTGCAAATGCAAATAAAAATATTGCACAATTCCTAGCTTCTTCAACCTTATAAACTTAAGTTTCGGTCAAAGCCAATCCTAGACACTTCCCTCTCTCAAATAAAAGGGTTCATTTATTTGTTCGATTTATCTTCTGCCTTCCATCCTGGAGTTCAAGTTGGTTATCTCTCATCCCAATTTACCATACAGCAATCATGTGAAATAGATTGGGCTGACAGAAAGTGACTAATCCAAAATCACCCAGTGAACTTCCTTGGCTGAGAGTGGATTTGAGCTTGATTTCCTAAGTGCCAATCCAATTTCTTAATCTCTACATAGCAGTTTTCTTATATTTATCTAACACACACACCTGTCAGAAGCCACACTCAAAAAAAAGTGTACACTAGGATAAAAAAATAATCAATAATTCATTAAGATTAATTAATTAATGGTACTGCATTTTAAAAAAATAAGTAATGCCCACCAACATATGCAAACTATTAATTTAGAAATAAAAGAAGTAGGTATACATGAAATAATGTTGTATATGCCTTTTCCTCTCTCTTTTAGCATCTAACAGACTTTATTATATGTTGGGCAATTGAGACTCTAATTGCTAGATTGTAAGAAGACAATTATATATATATGCCCCAACACTAGAAGTCTTTAAGAAGATGTTGGATAGCCATTTGTCTGAAATGGTATAGGGTTTCCACCTAGGCAGGGGGTTGGACTAGAAGACCTCCAAGTTCCCTTTCAACTCTGCTATTGTATTGTACATACACTCCATCCTTCCAAAGGTAACAGCCAAAAAGAGATGAAGGGGGAAAAATAAAGAGGATGAACAGGGGTTATGGAGAAGGGACCTTCAAGAACCTTCCAGATTTATTCAAATCCTCCTGATGGAAACAAACCAGGAAGCTTCTTTAAAAAAAATTAATATAGATCATAATAGATTATTTCCCTCAATATAAATATTTTAATATGAACATCTCAAGTGATAAGATGGAGCATTTCCATCATTACAGTTCACAATTGATGGTGCTAGCAAGCTACTTAAATTAAAACTATTTGTTATTGTTGATGACAAGCACATCCTTTTCAGTGTTAAAATAAAAGGCTTTGCACCAGACCCAATTATTAGTTACAGCCTCCAATCAACATATGTAATATTTGTGTACTAAGACAGACTTAATGTTAATCTCCTTAGCAGACTGCTAAATGCTTTGCTTAAATCAAATACACCATGTCTACAATATTAAGACAAAGTCCCCATGAGATTATGATTAGCAAGTTAGTTAAATGCTGGCTGGACAAAGAAGTAAGTTGAAACAAAGCTAGTTAGTATTGTACTAAAACTGCATCAAAATTCTCATCGAAATTGAGTAACATACCGATTGGCAAATCACAAGGTTCAACCCCTATCAGGGTTCTTTAAAATTATTTTGATTTTTCAATTATTATTAATAATAACTGGCTTAAAATAAAGCAATAGCAATAGCAATAGCACTTAAACTTATACATTGTTCCATGTGCTTTATGGCACTCTCTGAGCGGTTTACCAGTATATTGCCCTAAATAATCTGAGTCCTCATTTCACCGATCTCAGAAGGATGGAAGGTTGAGTCAACCTTGAACCACTCAGGACTGAACTTCTGGCAGTGGGCAGAGTTAGCCTGCAATACTACAACTAAGCACTGCACTACTACAGTGCACTGTGTCTAGGTCAGGGGTGGGCAAAATAAAGGAAATGATTCTCAATTTGGCAGATAGCATAGCTATCACTTACGAAACCAAATGCACAATGCTAGGATAAGGATCCCTGTCTTGGCAAAAAATAATTTAGAATATTTAGAAAAATATTTCTAAATAATAAAAATAATTCTCCTATATTTCCTGATCCCACCTACTGAATCCCAAAATACCAATAATCTAACAGAAATAATATATCAGATGACTGTTTTCATGGTAGTTACACCCGACTGATTTAAAGGCTTAGGCTTCATCTTCAAAATGATTATGAATTGGAAACTAGTTACTGTTTGTAAAAATGCAATTAAATAGCCATGTGTTTAGATCAGGGTGGGCAATTATGATCCCTTTGAGACCTGTGGATTTCAACTCCCAGAATTCCTGAGCTCAGGGGTTCTGGGAGTTTAAGTCCACAGATCGTACAGGTGCTATAATGATCCATCTCGGGTCTTGAAACTAAAGACACCCCATGCTTCCAGCAGGCAGGCAGGCAGGCAGGCAGACAGACAGACAGACAGATAGATTATAGATAAGTAGGTAGGTAGGTAGGTAGGTAGGTAGGTAGGTAGGTAGGTAGGTAGGTAGGTAGGT